CCCCGCCCCTCCGCAGCCCCGCCCCTCCCCTCCACTTCCTGCCCTTTTCTTGGTTAGGATGATGATATGATCTGTCAGGCGGGACCCTCGAGATGCCAGTCCTGTGCCCCCCATCAAACTGCCCAGCAGGAGGACACGGGGACAGCCCGGACAGTGGCTCTCAGACCAGGATGCAGTCAGCGATCCCAGAAAACACGGGCCCCGAAAACCACACTCAGTGGCCACGCTGCGGGAATCCATGGCAGAGACAACCCCTTACGCCAGTTCCCCGCGCTGCCCCCGATGCTGCCCGGCCTGATTTGGATCACATGTTCTGAGTAAATTGCAGAAGAGTGGCAACAGTAATGAAACCCAGGCCCGCCCACTCAGCGGCTTTTCTGTAGCGCTCAAAAAATGATAACGATAGGTAAAAAGCATGCTAGAAAACAAAACGCACTTTGGGCAAGGAAACCGAAGCACAAGGGCCTGTACCAGGTCGGCCGCGGCGGGAACGGGTGGCCTGACTCCCGGAACAGAGGGCGCGTCTCTGGGTGGGGAACGGAGAGAGGGCACCCCCGAGGAGGAGAGCTGTGCAGAGAGGATTCTGACCCGCTTCCGGGAGGAGGCTCTGAGCTCACGAGCTGCCTTTTGCCAGCTTCCCTCCCACCCTCCTCCCACCCACCCTTCTCTGGGGCTCAGTGTCATCTCCCTCCCCTGGGAGCATCTGTGACAGCCCAGAGTCTGGGTGGCTCACACCGTGTTCTCCGAATCCCCCTTCCTTTATCACAGTGCAGTGGCCCTGTGGTCAGCAATGGGCTGGCCGTCCCCCCGAGGCCCAGGCTCTGTGCTCAGGGTGGGGTCCCCCTTGTTCACTAGGGCTGCTTGGAGCTCAGCACAGGAGGCACCCAGGGCACCCCCGACGGTATTCATTGCTGCCACTCAGGTGCAGCCTCCCCCAGCTGAGGTAACAGGGGCTTCGTTCCCCCTGGGGCGCAGCTGAACTCGGAGGCCAGGTGCTGGAGGTGCAGGGAGTGGCAGGGTCAGGCCCCCAGGGTGAAAGCTGGGGCTGGGAATTTCTGGGCACCCCCTGGCCCTTGCCATTCCCAAGTCTACACTTGGCCCTCTCAGTGAGCCCACAGACCCCAGCATCCACACTAGGGCCGGGTGGGCCAGGCTGCAGGCGGCGGAGTCAGAGCTGTGGGCCTGCGAGAGCCCCTGCCCCGGGGAGCATGCGCTGGGGCCCATTGTCTCCCACATGGAGCTGCAGCCAGCAGAACTCGGGGGAAGCTGGCATCCAGTGTCCCATGGCGGGGTGGGGGTTTACCAGGTGCCACTAGCTACCTCCACATTAACTCCTTCAGCCCTGGATGCCCCTGGGGGAGAGGGACCCTGCCTGGCCCAGGGACTGTCCACAGGGGAGTCCCCAGAGCGCACAGGATGACCTGAGTCAGATCCGATTCATCCTCCCAGGCACCTACTGCAGTGGTCTGTCCCCCTCTGTAGGCTCTGGGTTATGCGGACATGGGAGCTCGGGAATAGTTCGTCTCCCACCTGAGAGCCGATGTTCCATCAGCGTGTAGGCACCCCCTGCACCAGGAGCAGCTGAGGGCAGGAGCCAAGGCTCCTCCACGCTCCCCACACCCTCTCCTGCAGGCCCAGCCCCTCGGAGGCCTCTGCTGGAGGCTTATGGGTCCCTGCGGGTCACGGGTTGGGAAGAGTCGTCTCCGAAGCAACCGCAGTGGGCCTGCCAGGATTTCCACCTGGAGAGTTGAGTCAAGCAGAGAAAAGGCAGAAGGAGGCCTTGGGGAGATTCACAGAAGCAAAAGCAAAACCAGAGACCCAGAGAGGGCCCTGAATTCCAGAGAAGGGAAGGGAGGCTGCCGGGGGCTGAGCCCTCTCCAGGAGAGAGAGGACACTGGGGCGAGCCCTCCGTTGTCTGCGGGGTCTGGGCTCTGGGCAGCTGGTCCCGGGAGGGGCCTGCCGGGCTGACCAGAAGGAAAGCAGGTGTTGTCAGTCCTTATGCAACCCCCGTCTTGCAGGCTCAACCTTCTGGCTAATTTCCCTCTGCGGGGGGCTCAGGTCCGTCTCACCCATGCCCCTTATTCTCATCTCTGCTTCATTCTTGATGCGGGATTCACGGGCACACAGTCACCTGTCCTACAATGCGTGAGGCTCTCGAGAGTGAGTCCTGGGGGACCCTAGGAGGCAGGTGGCAGGAAGCCTGGCGACGAGTGGGCAGAGCAGGGGCCAGGCGGCTGGGGCCAGGCAGCTCTGAGTGCAGGGGTCACCGAACACGCTCTGTAAAGGGCTGATGGACACACAGTTGAGGAATTGCGACTCATAGGGTCTTTGTCCCAGCTATTCTGCCTGGCACTTGGAAACTGCGAGGGATGATACAAACCAACCAGGGATAATATGGAAGCCATGGGCACGACTGTGCCAATAAAACTTTATTCACAAACAGGCTCGGTGGCCCTGCTTTGTCTTAGCCAGTGGGAAACACCCTCAGCCCTAGGTCATCTGACCTAGCCGTAGGGCCAGGTCACGGGGAGGCAAGGACGGGTGAGCAGCACAGGGGCGTGGCCAGTGGTTGGGCAGTGCAAACGGTCGTGGCATCCAACGCCCCCCTGCAAGGCAAGCGAGCACTGACAGCTGCAGTGAGGGAGACATACTGGGGCTTTGCCTAGCCTTACAGACGGGAGGCAGGGGGCTTGACGAGGGTGCTGGGTGTAAAACTCTGCAGGTCATGACCACGAGGGACTGGTGGGAGCTCCCACTTCCCATGAGGATGGGGCCACGATCCCCACGCTGCTCTCCTCGTGAGGGCTGAGGAATGCGCTCCTCTAGCCAGGGTGCGTGCAGAGCCCCTCTGCTGTCAGCACCGGGCTAGGCGGGCCGCAGCTTCATCTCCGACACCCTGTAGCTGTAGTGGTACCCTTTCCCCGAATTCCAGTTCATGCCATTGGCAAAGCTGTCATGGGCCCCCCTGAGGTAGCGACCATTCAGGTTTGACAGGTGGCAGGTGAAGTACCACCAGGCTCCCTGATACTGCACAGCACAGTTCTCAGCAGCAGCTTGGTCGTTGTCTTGGTCTTTGGTGGAGAAGGAGTGGTTGTTGTGGTATGTCAGAGAATCACCTGCTCAGAGGGAAAAATAGGGCATTTTCCGTGAAGTGCCAGGGAGTCTGGATCCTAGGCCCAGTGCCGAGCTGCCACAGGGGCCCACATTGTGCACTGCACAACTCCAAGAGGCACCACCCAGCGAACATGCGCTCTGCTCTGCTGGGACAGCAGCTTTGGCATCTCCTTGCCTGGTCTGCCCAGCTAGCTAACAGGTGTTCCTACACTTGGAGACCGCCTGGCTCTGGGTGGGGCAGCAGGGGGAGGCATGCCAGGCGGCACAGAGCCTAAGGGTTCAGTCTCTGTAGAAATATCCTTATAATGTTTCCTGTTCTCCATCAGTAATGGTAGCAGATAATCAGAGACACTCTGTATTGTACTTTTACTACATGTAGATCATAATTTTCACAAGTGTAGTCAACTGTGAGTGAATTGATGGATGGACAGATTGTGGGTTGGACAGGTTAAGGCACCCCTCAGTGTCGCACAGCAGAGGCATAGCCAGAAGCTGAGCACACTCCCTCCACGTCCCCAATACCCTCAGTGGCCCAGGCCACGCGGCCCGGCACAGACACTCACCCGCACTGCCCTCCACAAAGGCCCCCAGGACCAGCCTGTACTTCTCCGCCTCGCCCGCCATCTGGAAGGATCTGTACTTGGCAAATTGGTAGTTGTCCTCAAAGTCCACCAGGTCTACTCGGAGCTCACTGGTTCCTGCGGGAGGAAGGTTTCAGGATCCCGGCAGAAGGGCCCTCTGCCTCCAGACGCGGGAGCTGGGGAACTGGGGCAGGGGCTGGAAGGAGGTCTGGGTTCCATGGAGGCAGGGCGTGGAGAGCACTGCGGCTTCCCCGGGGCCCGCGCGGCTCTGACCCGCTGGGGGTGCTGAGCCACAGGGCGAGACTCAACTCCCAAATCCTTGAGGCTTAGAGGCAGAATTGGGGTTGGGCCCAAACTCCACTA